GCTGCGGGGATGAGAGCCGTGCTGGGGGCCGTACGCGGGCGCGTCCGCCGGGTGAGGACGCGTGGGGAGCGGGCGCGGGGCCTGGGCCCAGGAATGATGCAAGGTGGAGTTTGACTTAAATTTTGGCTGTTGTCCTGGACCGTGAAGGAAAGGATCGGTGCAGGCTAAGACTGGATAGGGAAGCACAGGTGGGCTACAGGCTCCTAAGAGGAGCAGAGTGGGGGATGGCTGTGCCAGCCTCACCTTCTCCATCCAGGTGGGTCGGGGCTCTCTGTTCTCCCTGGAAGCCACAATGGAGGAGCCACCTTGCAATGATCCGCTGGTGTGCCTGCTCCCCGTGACCAAGAAAACCATGGTGAGTGATGTGGTCCCAGCTATTGTTGGCCCAGGCCGGCAAGCAATTGGAATGATGGGTCCTGTGAGGAAGCAGAGGTTACCTCACTCTGAGTTACTGGTTAGAGATCAAGATGCTCTGAAAGGGTGGGTATTTGGGTGCTGGTGTCTGCTGCTGGCCAGGGCCTCCTTCCACCAAGTCGTGATTGCCTTCTGTGTGGCCCTCCTTTGAGGAGCGGCTAGCTGCTCTTGCCAGGAGCTTGTTCCAGTCTGTCCCCAGACTGTTCCTTCTCTCCCACCAGCTCTGCAGCTTCGAAGTCCTGGATGAGCTAGGAAAACACATGCTGCTGAGGAGGGACTGTGGCCCAGTGAATACGAAGGCTACAGGTGCTGGGATAGCTCAAGGAGACTGGGATAGCCCAGACCATACTTGACTCAGAATTCAGCCTTGATTGCTTCTCTGTTCCAACCCTATCCAGAGTATGGAAATGAGACTTTCAGCTCATTCCTTCCGATGCTGAACAAGGATCCCCTTCCCCAGGTGAGGAGCCTGTATCTGGGAGAGCCAACTGCCCCCTTATTTCTCTTCCCTTTACCCTCAGTTCGTGTCCCCGGGGTCAGGCTGAACGCCTTGTAAACAAACACCCACCCTTTTGTCTTCCCAGGACTTTTCTGTAAAGATGGCCACAGTCTTCGAGGACTTCATGAATACCTATAACCGCACTTACGAATCAAAGGAAGGTAGGACCCAGCCTTGTCTGTACCTGTCCCAGTCAGACTTGGGCCTTCTCCTATCATGGCACTTTGATATTGAGGAAGGAAAGGACACAAGGACCTTGTGTCTCTCAAGGACCCCCAATCCCTGAGTTCTTATCCAGCTTTCTAGGCAGCCATCTTGTCAAGGAAGAGTGGACTGTCCCCTCCTTCCATCTTACCTTCCTGGCCAGAAACCATGGGCTTCCGTCCCTCCAGGCAGGGTCGGGTAAGGTGGAGACCAGATTTTCTCTGTTGGATTTCCTTTGTCATCATGGCCTTTTCCATAACCTCTTCTGGGTGACACCCTTAGGTCTCATTTTGGTCAGTGCTCCGGTTTAGGCTCCCAAAGTTGACCACACCTCCCACCTTGTCACTTTGTGGTCTGCTTCCCCATGTCGCATTCTACCTGCCCCAGGGATCTGTCCTTACAAACAGTTTCAGGGGCTAAGGCAGTGACTCAGTTAATAAAGCCCTTGCCTTGAAAGTGTGAAGACATGAGTTCAATTCCCAGATCCTACCAGAGAAGCCCAACAAGGTGGCCTAGGCAGCAGTGAAATGGGAGGCAGAAACAGACTCATGACCAGCTAGCCTAGCCTACTTGATTAAGTTCTAAGCCAGTAAGAGACCATTTGTGAAACAAAAGGGAAAGACCCTGAGGAGTGACACCAGAGGCTGTCCTTTGATCTACACACACACGCTCACCACACTCACTCTAACACACTCAAAAGTTTCAAGCTCAACCCAGAGTCTACCTCTCACCTGGGGAAAACTTGGCTTGCTAACCCCATTTATGTCTCCTTTTATGATCTGTTTGGTTTCAAGCCTCTCTCCTTCTCTTTGGTCCTCAGAAGCCCAGTGGCGCTTGACTGTCTTTACCAGAAACATGATGCGAGCACAGAAGATTCAGGCCCTGGACCGTGGCACAGCTCAGTATGGGATCACCAAGTTCAGTGACCTCACAGGTGGGGACGGTGAGCAGAGCCCTCGCAGAACTTAGAAGAGACTGGGCCCTGCTCCGGAAGCTCCTCATTTGGACTAGCATAAAATATTCACCCCTCTCTGCCCTGCCCACCTCTACCTACAGAGGAGGAATTCTACACCATCTACCTGAATCCCCTTTTACAAAAGGAGCCTGGCAGGAAGATGAGTCTAGCCAAGCCTGTAGATGATCTCGCCCCGCCCGAATGGGACTGGAGGAAGAAAGGGGCTGTCACTGAAGTGAAGGACCAGGTTGGAGTCCCAGAAGTGGGGATGAGAAGGCAAACTGCATGGGGCCCTGAAGAAAGGGAGAGCCTTGACCATGTCCATTGTCTTGCAGGGCATGTGTGGCTCCTGCTGGGCCTTCTCTGTCACAGGCAATGTGGAGGGCCAGTGGTTCCTGAACCAGGGGACTCTGCTCTCCCTGTCAGAGCAGGGTGAGCATCCTGCTCCAGCCCCCTGACATTAAGGCCAGCCTCTCCAGAGGACCCCTTGGAACCAGCCTTCTGTCTCCTAGAGCTCTTGGATTGTGACAAGATGGACAAGGCCTGCTTGGGTGGATTGCCCTCCAATGCCTACACAGCCATAAAGAATTTGGGTATGCATTATTTTGGTCAGGCGGGGCAGCAGGTGCTGCCTCTTTGCAAGAGGGAGAGATGGGCGTGGGCGTCACACAGAACTGGGTCCTGGTCCTTAAGTTGACCCTTTTTGGCCAAACTTCTACAGCAAGTCAGTTTTGTCAGAGCCTTAGTTATCTCAACTGTGAAATGGGATATACAGTGTCCACTTGGTATGATTGTCTCAGTGTCAAGTGAGAAAATAGATGTCAAGATTCTGTTACATGACAAGGACCCAGTGGATCTTGATGTTTTCACTTCCTGGAAGTCTGTGTTCTTACTATGCTAAACTGGACAGTAACACATCTCTCTCCCAAGGAGAGGTATTAAATTCAGCCGTGGGCTGCAGTAGTAGAAGGATCGTGAGCTAAGGAACTGAGATAGCTTACAAAGAAACTGGTCCAGGAGCCCAACAAGGGTCTGAGCTACATTAGCAGTAGACTATCAGCGCAGGACAAGCAGCAAAGGACAAAGTGCCAGGAAGCCTGGGATGAGGCCTCAGCAAGGAGGCAGAGATGGGAGCGGAGTCCTGTCCATGCTGGTTAATGTAGCCCCTTCCCCACATCCTTTCATCCCGAGCTCTGTCATCTGTAGACTGAGGAGAGTCCTCAGAGGCCTGGGGCCCTGGGAGTATGTAAGGAACATGTGGCTTCATGTCTGTGGGATGCTTGGCACCCTTCTGTCTGGGAGAACACGAATGAGTGATAAACAGGAGTCTCCTCATTTTCCAGGAGGGCTGGAGACAGAGGATGACTACAGCTACCAGGGCCATGTTCAGGCCTGCAGCTTCTCGGCACAAAGAGCAAAAGTCTACATCAATGATTCAGTGGAGCTGAGCAAGAATGAGAACAGTGAGTAGGGGCTGGAGTGGGTCCAGGTTGATGCTGCTGGGCCCAAGTAACCACTGACGCTGCCTTCCCCTCTCAGAGATGGCAGCCTGGCTGGCTCAGAAAGGACCGATCTCAGTCGCCATTAATGCCTTTGGCATGCAGGTGAGGCCCTGGTCTCTGAGCTCCTGCCCCCTCTCTTGTCTCTGCCTCCTGCACTCACCCTTTCAGGCTGGCATTCTACCCCCTGTTTTCTTGTCAGTTCTATCGCCATGGGATTGCTCACCCTCTCCGGCCCCTCTGCAGCCCCTGGCTCATCGACCATGCTGTGTTGCTGGTGGGCTATGGCAACCGTGAGTTCCACCGGTCTCCTGCTTATCCTTCCATCCACTCCAGGCCATAGTCAGGGGGTAGATAGCAGCTTCTTAGGCCTTCTGAGGGGAACCTCGGGGTAATGCCTGGGAACCTGAATCCCAGCCTCAGAGAAATACACATGCCTTTTGTAGACAGGAAAGCTGGGGCTGTGGGAGGTTATTCTAGAGGTAACTGGACAAGTGCTCTCTCCAAGCCTTATAGATGCATGGGGTCTCTCTGAGGACGGTAGGTGGGCCCCTTGGCTCTTTGCTATTTTCATAGTATGAGTATCTGAGTGGAGAATTGGGGCCTCTGACTCCTTGTATTCTGTGTGGCTTCCAAGGCTCCAACACTCCTTATTGGACCATCAAGAACAGTTGGGGCAGTAACTGGGGTGAGGAGGTAAGTTTTGCCTGGTTGGCCCCTGACCCTCCAGCCTCACTCTACCTAAGCACCCTCACCAAGTCCCACTGTCCCTCAGGGTTACTACTACTTGTATCGTGGGTCTGGCGCCTGCGGTGTGAATACCATGGCCAGCTCAGCAGTGGTGAACTGAGGGACTTGCTGGCACAGGACCTGATGCTGACCACAGTGGCCCCTTCCTTAGCCTGACTCATCCCCCAGGCCCCTCCTCCGGAGGCACAGCTGGCTGAGGGACAGGCACTTGGTACCTCAGGGTGAGCAGTGGGCCCTGGGCCCCTTCTTTCCTCCCTCTCTCCCTCTCATGTCCACCTGAAGTTTCTTAGCTGCATCTTTATTGAATTGTGGTAGCTAGGAGGATCCTGAGGTGAAGGAGGCTTTCATGGAAGCCAGCACTGGGGCAAGAACCCCAGGCTCGGGTAAGGTGCAGAATGAAAATATTCTCATCATAAACCTCGCTTGGTCTTCAGCAGGCCCTGGCTTCCTGCCTTTGTTTTCCTCTGTCTGATCCTGTAAATTTTCTGGGTCCCTTCCACATCCAGGAAACTTGTAAGCAGCCTTCTCTAAGAGCAATAAAGAGGTCTCCTGCTCTCCAGTGTGGTGTAAGTGCTTAGTGTCCAAGGGATCCCTAGTGGGTCAAGTGGGGTCCGGAACCAAGAGGAGATGGGAGAGGCCCACAGCCTGGTCTTTATTCAGAACACAGTGCTGGATGATCTTGAGGCCCTTGCTCTGAGGGACAGTGGAATCCGCCACAGGAAGTGCCCTCTTTCCTTCTCTGCTAAGAATGTCAGAGGTCACTCTCTCCATAGAGGGCACTGGAGAAAGCCACATAGTCCAGGGCTCCGGGCGGAGCCCCAGATCCTTTGTAGGGCGCCATCCGACGGATGCAGTACTCAGCCTGCTCAGCTGGGAGCTCTCGCCGCAGCTCATCTGGGGTAATGTAGTTCTAGAGAAGAGGAGACATTGGTCCACAGGTCTTGAGTCATGCCCTAGCCTGCCAGCCCCTCCACCACATGATAGTCACCTTGTCTCCTGCCAGGATTTTGAAGGAGGCTACAACTTGTTCAGCCGTGTCTGTCTCGGCAGTCTCTCGGGTCATGAAGTCAATGAAGGCTTGGAAAGTCACAACCCCAGCTGCATTCGGGTCCACCATAGTCATGATGCGAGCAAACTCCACTTCTCCCTGCAGAGATAGAGGGCAGGCACTGTGTCCATAAGTGCCAAAGCCAAGAGGGCTCCTGTCCCCTCCTGGGGATTTTCCATACTTGGCTTATATCACCGCAGTGACAACATACTCTCTTCTTCCCAAGACATTAATCGGCTTGGCTTTAGGGAGTCACACAGAACTAGTGGATTTTCCTTTGTGTTTTAGATAGCCTCTGTGTGGGTGTGATGAGCAGAGAGGGTTTGTGTGAAGAGGGAGCCAGGCAGAAGGAGGGGAACTGATGGTACTTGTAGAAGTGGTTAGGGAACTCACCAGGTCATAACCCATGGAGATGAGGCAAGCTCGGAAGTCATCAGGCTCCATCATCCCATTCCGCTTCTGTGGAGGGCAAAAGGGTATCAGGCTTGCTCTCCAAATCCCACCAGCTCCCCTCTCAGCCTGTAGGACTTGGACCCTGCTGACCCGGTCAAAGTGGTTGAAGGACGCCCGGAACTCGTTGAGCTGCTCCTGGCTCAGGCCCTTGGCATCTCTGGTCAGTACCTGGTTCTCTACCTCATTGATGGTGCGGGCAATGGAGGTGAGCAGCTGCTCCCAGCCCACACGAATGTGCTAGAGAGCAAGAGACGAGGCAGTCATTGGGTGGCCAGCTCTTTGTCCTTAGTCCAGTTTTACTCTTTTTTTTTTTTTTTTTTTTGGATGTGTGTGCTCATCTGGAGACAAGGTCTTTCTATGTAGCCCTGGCTGTCCTGGAACTTTCTATGTAGCCCTGATCAGGTTGACCTCAAACCTACAGATACACCTGCCTCTGCCTCCCAAATGCTAGGATTAAAGACATGCACCACCACACCCGACTATCTAGTTAGTTGTATTCTTAATCTATTATATAGCATTGGGCAAGTCCTCCCCCTTATTGGGCGTCTGTCCCCATCTCGAAGGTCCCCTAAGTGACTCTAAGCAGCCCTTTCTATCTTAAAGTTTGATGGCTTATTATGTATTAAGTTTTGATCAACCAGCCGTGGACAATTCTGGGGTCTAGCTTTAGGATGCTTTATGACTCTGAACAGGTCACTTTTCCTTTCTTTTCCTCCCCCTCCCTTGCCTCATGAAGCCCAGACTGACCTTGAACTTGCTAAGTGGCTGAGAATGTCTTTGAACTCCCGATCCTCATGCCTCCCCTCTCAAGTGGTGGCAGTATAGGTTTGTACACACCCAGCCTGGACAAGTCACTTTCCATTGCTGGATAGCCATATTACCATGGGGCATTGGAAAAGCTTGCCAGGCTGAATTGGTGACCCTCGGGGACAGACATGCTCTATCCAGCTATGAGCACATCAGGCTTCCCTTCCCTTTCCAGCAAGGGTGAGCCCCTCACCTCCATGCTGTAGACTGTGTGCTTGTTGTCAAAGACCAGGCTCTCCTGCAGCAGCTGGTGGTCACCCTCCAGCCTGTCGATGTTGCTCTTGTAATTGATGATGTTCTGCTCCTGCTGCCGTAGACCAGCCATCTGCTCCTCCAGAGAGCCGGCCAACCCAGCTGCCAGCCGCCCTACCTCCTGCAGGGGTACCCAGGCAGAACAAGAGCTCTCAACTCCCTGTGGGCCAGCCCTCAATCCCATCCCCTGAGTTGGCCCCGCTCTCCAAGCCCTTACCTCCACCTTCCCCTGGATCCAGGGTCCTATGGCATTGGCCTGGGCTGCAAACTGTCGCCGGAGCCTCTCATTCACTTGCTGCCGTGCCAGTTCCTCCTGCAGAGTCTGGTCACGGCTGGGCACCAGCTTTCGGACCTGGGAAGGAGGGTGGTTGTACCATGGCCAAGTCTGGGGGCCAGGAGATGATCCTGAGGCCCTCAGACCTCAGCTCTTGTCCTCATGAAGATGACTTCATATTTATAGGCTCCAGGTTCCTCCTCTGTAAAATGTGCCCAGTGACCTAACTAGTGTAGGTGGGCTTGTGGAGGATATGCACACAATAAATTCTATGTCAGTCAGTCCTGATAGGCTTGGAGGCTTACCCAAGGCCATGAGTAATCTGTGGCAGACCCCAGATCTGGATAGCGGTGAGCTTTATTCCCCATATCTTGGGACACCAGAGGTTTCATGGATTCAAATGTGAAAGAGCAAATGGGGACCATGCGGGTCGCCAGTAGCACTGACCGTGTCCCACTTAGTGTTGATGTCCTGTGAGCTGAGGTTGATGTAGGGGTTGGTGGACTTTGGCCGTAGCCCGTACGTTTGGCAGATCTTCTGGATCTCTCCTTGGATACCCAGGATGGCCCCTCGCTCTCGATCAGCCTCTGGCAATGTTGCCTTGAATTGCTCATGTGCTGTTAGCAGGCTCTGGGGGAAAACAGGAAGGATCAGACGGCACACCCACTTATCAGCAAGCAACAGAGGAGGCAGAACAGAGAACTAGGCCATCTAGTGGTTGGTGCAGGACTGGTTTAAGAACCTAGGCCTCTTGCCTGCCAGCCTACCACTCCATAACTGGGTTTTTTCCTGCTTCCTATTCCTGTTACCCAGGTAACCAAAGGTATGGCTGATGGGATGTGAGACCAGTTTACCTCTCATTACATCCAGTGCCTCCCACACTTCTAGAATGCCTGCACTCACCTGAGTCTCTTCCACAGAGTGCACTAGCCACACGTCCTGCAGGTCTTCAATAGCCCCATCCAGCCAATTGTTGAAGGGTGCTGCCCGCCGAGCAAACTCCAGCTGCAGCTGGTCAATGGTTTCCAGGAGCTTCTCCATCCTCTAGCGGTCAGGGGACCATGGATCAGACCTTTGCAGCTTGCTGGCCTCATCGCCTTGCCCTTGGTTCCCTGGCCCACCTGCCTACCTCTAGCGCATCTCTCCTCTTCTGGGTCAGTGTACCTAAGTTATCCCACTGGTCACAGATGGCTTGGCAGCGGCTATTCACTGAGGCTGCCTCATGGTAGTCCAGCTCACTGATGGAGTTAAAGGGGAATGAGTGTAGAGGCAGACCTTGGCCTAACTTGAACCCTGGTGGAACCCAAGGCAGGGTGAGGGTGCAGGAGTGACTGTTAGGTAGCCAAAGCAGGTGTGGAGCAGAGAGGAACTTTTCTTCCAGGGATCTCAGTGTCTGCAGGTGTCCTGATGTGGAGCCTGGGTTTCAGAAGCAGAATTGTGGGAGAAGGAGAACCGGAGGAGGTGGTTGATGAGGCCAAGGCTGATGGGGTGGTGGGCTAATATTCTGAGGTGAAGGGGGGTCTCCATGTCATGGGGGACAGATTTCCCCATGCGGTGGGAATACCAGTGGATAAATGCAGGGGTTGGAGACAGTGTTTCAGTAAGAAAGTAATGGTGTGAAAAGAAGCAGGGTGCCACTACTTAGTTACCAACGATATGACAGAGGAGTAGGGAGGGGCTCAACGGGGAGGGGCGGGGCTGGGTCTCTGGTCACGCCTACTTGAGTTCCTGGGCTAGTGCAGCAATGTGCTCCACCCGGTCTTGGTGCGCAGCCAGGTCGCTCTCAAAGGCCTCGTGGCGGCGCAACAGCGCACGCACCTCCTGCAGCGAAGCTGAGTCGTAGTCATGCTGGTTCAGCATCTCCTCTTTGCCTGCTCGGAAAGAGAACAGGGTCCTGTCACCCAGAGGCCGCTATGGCTGGAGTGTGAGGTTTCCCAACATACCCTGAGATGCCAGCCGGAACTTTAGCATTGTTTGCCAATGAAGTCAGTGTCCTCTGACCCAGCACTGTCCAGGATGACCTTTGCTACAATTTTGGAATTGCTTGATAATCAAACCCCACTCCCACCCCACCCCGGTCCCTCTGTTTTATTCTGAGACAGAGTCTCTATGTAGTCCTGGTACGTTGACCAGGCTGGCCTCAAACTCAGAGATCTACCACCTCTGCTTCTCAAGTGCTGGGGTTAAAGGGATGCACCACCGCGCCCAGCCTTCGAACTACTTTTCAATGCTCCTGTGAATTCCTCAATCTTTTGACCTGGCTTCATTTGCTCATCTGCTTTCCCAGCACCTGGCACAGTGCCTGATACTTGGTGGATGGCAGAGCCTCCGTGAATAATTACTGCATGAATGAATAATAAATGCAAAAGTGTCTTTGGTGAAAGTGTTTTATAGGTAATAATTACTATAATTTTACAAATAGAGACCACCACCATCATCACAGTAGTGGTGGGGACACCTCATTTGAGGGCACCTGCATTTGCAGGTGACAGGTATAAAGGTTCAGAGATTGCTTCAGGGTCACCTAAACTGTAAATTTCAAGAATTTGTTGTTGTTTTTGAGACAGGGTTTCCCTGCGTAGTCCTGGTTGTCCTGGAACTCACTATGTAGACCAGCCTCAAACTCAGAGATTGCCTGCTTCTGCCTCCAGAGTGCTGGGATTAAATGGGTGTACTACCTACCCTACCTGGCAACTTCAGGAATTCTTATAAAAATATCCAAACTATTGTTATTCACCATGCCATAATGCATCATTAATGTTTGTTCATTCCTTTTAACAAAACAAACTGGGGTTGTTTCTGTTTGTTTTTTGTTTATTTGAGATAGGGGTTCTCTGTGTAACAGCCTTGGCTGTCCTGTAGTCCAGGCTGGCCTTGAATTCAGAGATCCACCTGCCTCTGCCTCCCTAGTGCTGGGATTAAAGGCGTGCACCACCACCGCCTGGTTTAACAGATTGGTTTTTTTTTTTTTTTTTTTGGTTTTTCGAGACAGGGTTTCTCTGTGTAGCTTTGCGCCTTTTCCTGGAACTCACTTGGTAGCCCAGGCTGGCCTCGAACTCACAGAGATCCACCTGGCTCTGCCTCCCGAGTGCTGGGATTAAAGGCGTGCGCCACCACCGCCCGGCAACAGATTGGTTTTTAAGGAGCTGTTCTTGTTAATATTTATTTTTATGTTTATGAGTGTTTTATCTACATGTATATATGTACAGCATGTACATGCCTGGTGCACAAGGAGGCCAAAGGAGTGTGTTGGATGCCCTGGAATTGGAGTTACAGATGGCTGTGAACCACAGTTTGGGTACTGGGAATTGAACCCAGGTCCTCTGTAAGAGCAATCAATGCTCTTAACCACTGAGCCACCCCAAGGACTCATTCTTTTGTAGGACTGAAATCTCTGATATAAATCTGAATGGATGGCATTATTTATGGAGAGTGATATATCTGATTTATGCAGTATTCTACATCAGTATACTTTGAATATGACATAGTGATGTTGAGATTAGGGACTTATCTTTGGACACCTGTTCCATATACAAAAGCTAAGTGACAACTTAATCAGAGATGATTACAGAGGGCCAGAGCCTGAGAGGAGAGAGATTAAGTTTATAGATAACAAAACTAGTCCCAAGAGAAGCCCAGATTGCCCTGCGGCAAGTCAGGATAGAATGAAAAATCTGGTCTCCAGCCAGGTTTGGTAACTCATGTCTTTAATCCCAGCACCCCCAGCAGGAGGCAGAGGCAGGTAGATCTCTGCCTGGTCTACATAGGCACTATATAGTAAGACAATTTCAGTGGCAGTGGCGGATGGGGGGTGGTGGAGGGGTGGGGAGGTAAGGGAGGGGGGATGCGGCCTTGGTCTCTGGCTCCCTGCAGAGCATCTGCCCCTATTCTGTGCATTTTGTCCCAGGAAGGAGTCCAGCCCCGTGACATATACCTACCCCGGGTCCAAGCTTCATGCAGGGAAGCCTTCTGTTGGAACTTCTCAGCCAGGTGCTGAAGCCGCTGCAGACGCCTGATCTCTGAGAGCAGCCAATCCTCATAGCCCTTTTCCACCTGCTCCAGTCCCCGCCATGCATTGGCTATGTCCTGTGTGGAAACAAAGATGGCCTCCATCACAGTTCACCCATTATGCAGATGGGGATCGAGAACCCGGGGTCACCCAGGGCACTAGCTCACCGAAACCAGCTTGCCCTCAGAGGGCATGAAAGCAGGGCGGTGGCTCAGGCGCAGCTTGGTCTGCAGTGTGTTGAAGTTGATCTCCAGCTGGCATTTCTCCTGCACACGGGGAGGTTTGTGCAGGCGTCTATAGTCCCGGAAGTCTTCCAGCTTGCGCTGCATTGCACTCATGCTGGGTTCACCTGCACGGTTCTCCAGCCATGGGACGGTGCGGCGGATCCACTCCAGCAGCTGCCAGGACCAGAGCAAGGCAGAGTTCCGAGCTGACCTTCATACCTCACCCACCCAGCTCCACTTCACACATAGGCTGTGGCCAGAGGGCCAGGCCGCAAATACATGGGAGGGATTTTCAAAACTATGGAGAACAGAATGGGGTAGTCTGTCCTTACTGGTCAGAGAAAGAATAGGATGCTTAAGTGTATATGTGTGTGTGGTGGTGGTGGGGCACTTGAATCTAGGATTTCCGATAGCCTAGACAAGCACTCTACCACTGAGCCACATCCCAGTTCCAGAACAGTCAATCTCTGAGTCCAAGGGCCAAAATAGGTTGGCATGTATAAAAAGGACATATGGCTGCCTAAATATAAGGAAAGGACAGGATCAGTGAATGTATGAACAATAAGTGAATCAGGAATGACCAGGAGTTTTGGTTGACAGAGGGCAGGAGATGGTGGGGAGGCAAGGGCAGAGAGAACCTGGAAGGAGCTCTGCAGACTCATGCCAGAGGTTAAGGTTGGATGGCCAGCGGGGACAGGGTAAGGAGTACGGTGGGAAGGGGCTTTCTGGCCCTAGCCGTACCTCACTGGCTAATTTCTCATACTCCTCCATCAGTTTCTCGTTTTCTTGGTTCACAGCCAACACTTTGCAGATCCTGTTGGCAGCAGTCTCTGCCTGGAATGGGGACAGCAAGAGGGCTTAGGACAAGCTACTCCAGACACCCCGACCTAGCCCCCCATGTAAAGCCCTCAAAAACTCGGCCTGTGTTCAAATCCAGAAGGAGGGGTGATCACATCGCTAAGGTGGGAGGGAGCTTTCAGGATAGAGGCCTTTGTCCCTGAGCTCCCTGAAGACACATTGTGTACAACTGAGACAGTGTCCTGCCCTCCCACTTTGTATGCCTTGGCACCTCCAAATGCCAGGCTAACACCAAAATTGGGCCCTTGGACCTTACCTAGGCAGCAGTGCCCTCAGTGGGGCAGCAATGAGGTCTTCCTTTACCTGCTCAGCCCCAGCAAACGCATGGTAGAAGCAGGAGACATAGGTCATGATGGCTTTCTCATCTGGTTTGGGGGTGTTCACAATGTCTGGGGGAGGACAGCAAGGTGTACGGTGTTTTGTTTATTTTGGGGTTTTTTGTTTTTTTTTTTTGTTTTTGTTTTTGGCATAGGAATCAAATCCAGGGCTTTTCTCACGATAGGTAAGTGTTCCACCACTCAGCAACAAACTCAATTCTTGTCTTATAAAGTGTATGTTGACCAAAGCCAGGGTGGGGAATGAACTCAAGACTCTCCTTCCCATGCAGAGAACACCCTCAGGATGACAAATGGGACTCTAGTCACCGGCTGCCAGCTACCCCAAGCGCAGTGTTTTCTTCCATCAGGAAGCCTATGATCACCCCAGGGCCTGGTATGAGGCCATACATGAGTATGCAGCTACTGAGACCCTCATGAGGGATCTCTGAACTCTGCCTGGTGCCCCCAGCCAGTCTGTAACTCAGTCTCTCTGCCTTTTCTCTAAGTCCTGTGATTTCCTCTGGGGCCAGAAGCAGTTCTCCTTGGTGCACAGACATCCAGGGTACCAAGCAGCGGTTGCTCAGAAAATATTTGCTGCTTCGTTGACTGAACATTGTTTGGGCTCAGGGACCACAGGCAGAATGTGCCCCAGAGAAGCTTCCAGTCTTGGGGACCAATATTATCCTGGATAACCAGGAGTCTGGGATATGAGACAGAGGGCAGAGCCATTCCATAGAGGAAAGCTGGGAGTTGGAGGGCAGGGGTGTGTAATGGAAAGCTCCTGGAGAAGAGAAATGATAGTATGAAACATTGTGAAAAGAGCTGGGAGTGGTAGCACATGCCAATAATCCCAGCACTTGAGTGGTCGAGGCAGGAAAATCAGGAGTTCAGGGCTAGCCTCAGATACATACTGAGTTTGAAGCCAGCGTGGGCGACATGAGTCTCTGTCTCCAAAACCATAAGATTTTGAAAAGGAAGAAGAATAGGGATAGAGTAGGGGACAGGAGTAAAATATCACTGGAGGAGGGGAGAGCAGGGCACTATGTGGAGGTTGGACTGCGTCCAGTGTATACTTAATACTGTTCTCATCCACTGATCTCACCTTCTGCATCCAGCATCTTAGGGATGTCCAGGTATTTCTCCGCCACCTCAAAGGCAGTGTTCAGGTTTCCAATTGGGTCATCCTAGAGAGGCATGAAGGGGAAAGGTGAAAGGTCAGCTGAAGGTAGAGACTGCAGAATTGGGTCTGCAATTTATAGAGGCCCACCTTGCGCAGCTTGGCATAGTCAATGAGGTCTGGCCGGTGGCGGTGGATGAGAGCACAGAGGGCCAGGCCATCCTTCCAGCTGGACAGACAGAAAGGTTTGTCAGGCTTGGGTTCAAGCTGAGGCCATGTCCCGCCCTCAGCCTAGAAGCCCCCAAGCAGGACCACCTTTTCTGTGAAATGCAGTCAAGTACAAATTCCTTTGCCCCCCATTGCCAGACCATCTCCTTAAAGCTCCTCAAAATCCCTTCCTGTTCCTAGGCTCAGGCCAGACCAGTTTCTAGATGTGTGGGGTATCCAGGTCTTCTCTGGCTGAAATAGGCTTCTTCAGCTGTCACAACTGCTCCTTGCCCAGGAGTAGTCTGCAACCCTCCTTGTTCTGGCCCATTCACTTCGTTATACCCTGAGACCTCCTTTCAGAGGCTGTTCCAGAACTGGAGCCCCTCCAATTGCTGAGGTTTGGAAGGGGGCCAGTCCAAACCTTCATGGACCACAGCTGCTCCCTTGTGCCCCCGTGATGCCATCAAACAGACCTGGTATGGAAGTTCTGCACGTTGACATTGCGGTATGGTGCTGTTTTCCGCTGACACCAGAGAAGCAAGCCTTCTTTGGCTGAGGTCTCTGGGGGACAAAGGGACAGAAGTGTTAGCTGGGAAAGAGTCTGAGCTGGCCCTCTCCACCTGCCTCCTCCTCTGCTCACCCTCTACAGAGATGTCCTGGATGGCAAAGCGGAGGATGATGGTCCAAATCATGCCCAGGGTCATCTTCAGGTTCCCATCAACAATTTCTGCCATGGACAGGGGTCAGGGTTGGACTCCAGGCCATTGTGCCCAGGCTTCAGTGCACAGTCCTCCAGCTTGGCCTCCTGGCCCTGTGTCCCACCCAAGGCCTGGTACCTAGTAAACACCTAGCAAGCACTCAGTAGCCATCTAGTGTTATTTTAGAATAATTTATTGAACACCTGCAGGGTGCTGTTACTTCTGATAGACAGGAATAACTATCTCCACTGGGTCTTGCAGAAGAAACCTGTGGACTCCCCTGCGTCCTTGCCCAGGCCAGTCCTGTCCCTTCTCACCTTCAGCACCAATGGACACAAGCTTCACTCCTTTGCTAGCAATGAAGTCCAGGGCCTTATTGACATTGGCGATTTTGTGGAAGCGCATCTTGCCTTTGTCTGGCCTGGGCAGCCTCTCTCCTGAGTATAAGAGGAGAGGGTAAGGGTCAAAGGTTATTGGAAGGGGTTGGGATGTACCTCAGTAGTAGAATGTTGTCTACCCCAACTTAAGCTCTAGATTTGATTCTCAGCACTGAAAATTTTTAATTTAAAAGTGCTGTTCCCAAGCTCTCCCTTCTCCAGTACAGCTCCCTTCCAGCACTCTGCTGCCACCATTCCCACAACTCTCCAGATTTCCCTGGCTACAGATGTGTGCCCTCACCGGAAATGACCTCCAGGAGCAGCATGAGCTTGAGGCCATTGCGGAAGTCCTCTTCAATGTTCTCGATCTGAGTGCCTGCCTTGCGCAGATGTGAGTTGCACCATGCAGTGAAGGTCTAGGGACAGAAGACAGTGATTGGACATCGGGAATAGATCTAGGGATGGGGAATGCCTGGAACCGAGTCTGGTGCACACAGAACTAGTTCCATTAAGATAGGTCTTAGGACTCAAGGCCCTGGATGTAGATCCTGGTTCAGCCACTGTCTTGCTATGTACCCTCCTTCAGCTTCTTTCCCTCTTGGAGTTTTAGTTCTACTGAGAGAAGAGAAATGGCGCTGGGGCTTCTGTAGGTACCAGTTTGGACTTGGGATCTCCCTGTGGTCAGCACTCCAGCTTTGTTGTGAAATATTTCTTTACACTGTGTGAAGATGTGTCACTGTGATTGGTTTAATAAAGAGCTGAATCGCCAATAGCTAGGCAGGAAGAGGTTAGGCAGGACGTCTGGGGACAGAGAGGTCTTGGGGAGGAAGAAAGCAGATTCACCAGCCAGATGTTGAGGAAGCAGGATGGGCAGTACAGAGAAAAAGTAACTGAGTCATGTAAAAGAAAGTAGATTAAAAAATAAGGGTTAGGGGCTGGAGAGATGGCTCAGAGGTTAAGAGCACTGCTTGCTCTTCCAAAGGTCCTGAGTTCAATTCCTAGCAACCACATGGTGGCTCACAACCATCTGTAATGAGATCTGGTGCCCTCTTCTGGCCTGAAGGGACACATGTAGGCAGAATACTGTATACATAATAAATAAATAAATCTTTAAAAAAAAATAAGGGTTAATTTAAGTTGTAAGAACTAGTTAGGAACAAGTCTAAGCTAAGGCTGAGCCTTCATAATTAATAATAAGTCTCTGCATCATTTTTTTTTGTGAGCTGGTGGCCCAAAGAAAAAACCTGATACACAGCTTTGTCTAATCTTCATCACCGGAGATAGAATTAGAAAACATTAACACACTTCAAAGTGTGGAGTTCCCTGAGGGTCCAGATAGCCCAGAGATATGGTCTCTAAACTGAGGGCTCCTCAAGGGAATCATATCTAGAGGAGAGGTGGGAATCAGCTCAGGGAGACCCTGGACATAAAAGCATTACACAGGTGATCAACAGTCTATTGTTAATTCTGAATGATTTATTAAACACCTTATCATCCCCACTGGGTCTTATAGAAGTGACCAGTTGACCAGGTACTGCAATCTACAAGACCTCTTTCCCAGCACCAATGACCCCCTTCCCTACAACCAGTCTCAGCTTCCACCTGAGATAAGAGGATTGGCATATGGCTGTATCTATTGGGAATGGGGTTGTCCTACGAGTGTGCACATACTTACCAACCAACCAGGCCTTCAGACCCTGAGTGCTACCACTGGCTCTGGATCCTTGATGGAGTCCACAGCTGAGCTCCAACCCCAAATGGCATCCCTCTTTGTGATCTGGGGCCAGCCCTTAACCTCTCTGTGGTTTGTTTTCTGTATTTGTCCAAGTAAGGGTGGTGGTCAGATTCTATTATGTCTCTGGTGATTCTTCCTTTAACCTGGCAGGATCTGGGAATTCGTAATATTTTGATCACACTCTGACACTCCCGAGACTTGCCGATAAAGTTATACCTTGAATCAGAGGGCAGAGCCAGCAACCAGCTGATCAGAACTGGCCATAGAGAAGTCAGCAATTTGGATAGAGAAGACATGCAGGGAGGTAAGGACAGGGACTTGAGTTTGGCACTTCTTTTTGCTTCTGGGATGAGGAAAGAGATGAGTCTCCTGCAGTGTCTTTGGCCAATAAGCAAGGTCAGCTAGTTTCTACTCAGCTTCTCTGAGCTAGAAGGTTTTCACTCCAGCCTTTGACTCCCAAGTCTTATTGATAAATGGAAAAAGAGAGACTTAATTTAAACCTACATATCATGGCTGTGGTAAAACCAGGGCCAAGGGACTGGAAGGCCCGCCAGGCCTTGGCCTGAGTGGCTGGCAGGGCACTGACCGTGGGGCTGTGGGGCCACAGATAATAATTAAAATATCAGTAGATTCATGTGCAGTCACTAAGCTGACCGAAAAACATCATTCCTCCCACCATAAAACAGATGATCCTGAGAGGTGGCCCTGGAGGCCATTTAGAATTCTCTCCTCAGCCAGATTTCCAGGTGTGCTAGGAGCTGGAGTAGAAGAGAATGCTATAAATCTGGATGTCTGTCATTGCTAAGGGAGCATGGTGAGCTTCTGTTACGGGGGTGGTGGTGTATAAGTGGGTCCTTAGGCAATGGGGACCCATGCACAGAAGATTGCATTCATATTTTCTACAGCCGCTTCTCCCATCGGAGTCTAGATGCCCTTGGTCTACAAATGGCAGAAGGCCAGACAGTTTGGCTGAGGGTTGGGAGGGAGGGCTTGGAGGATGGGGGGAGTTTTTTTTTTTTTTTTTTTTTTTGAGACCAAGTCTTATGTATTCCAAGGTTTCGTGTATTTTTGAACTTACTATGTAGCCAGTAGTGACAATGAACTTCTGATCCTCCTGCCTCCATCTCCTGAGTCCTGGGGTTACAGGCATGCACTACCATACCCTGCTTATTTGATGCTGGGGATCCAAGCTGGGGATTCATGCTATGCTAAGTCAGAACTTAATCAACTGAGCTACATTCCCAGCCCCAAATATGAGTTTCAATAAGTTGTAGCCCTGCCCTGAAGGAGTTCACAGCCATTCAGAGTCATGTTGGTCTCTGAGGTATACCCACAGAGACATGCAGAGGAATCTGGGGTGGAGAGGGACTGTCCAAATTAGGTAGGGGCTTCTTGATGGAGGCTCACATTTGAATCAGAGCTGTGATGGAAGAGCAGGAGCTTGTGCAGGCCCAGGAAGGGCTGACAAGGGCATGCCAGGCAGGGGCAGACACAGGGAAAAGGTGTAGTGAGAAACACTTGTTCTGTCTGTGGGGCTGCAGCATCGCGGGGCTCTGCTGGAATGCAGCTGGAGGTGTTGGGGTATCGGTGGGGAGAGACAGACCGGAGGGGTGGCAGGGGCCAGGTCATGCATGATTCTGGGTGCTAAGCCAGGGAGTTTGAACTTGATCCTGAGAGCCACAGAGAGTTGGCGAAGCTTCATGTAAAAGGGAGGAGGCACCAGAACTTGATTAATTATGTTTGAGACAAGCCTCTCTATGCAGCCCTGGCTATCCTGACACTCATTATATGGAGCAGACCATCTGAGAGAGATCTGCCTGCCTCCGTCTCCCAAATGTAGCCCAGGGCTGTAAATTTAAAAACTCACTCTGGTTGCAGAGCAGGGACAATGGTTGTCAGAACAGAAGTGACAAATGAGGAGGTGAGAATGGGTACAAGGGACAGAAAGACATGAGAGTGGGTATGAGGAGGTGTGCGTGTGTAGGTGTGCTTTCTTTTATTCTGATTCCGGATCTTCTTATGACCTATTTATGGGTTTGGAATCATGGCCCAGTGATTAAGAGCACTGGTTGTTCTCCCAAAGGACCCAGATTGGATTCCCAGCACCCATGTCAGGAGGCTTATAACTGCCTGTAACTCCAACTCCAGGAATCTGACACCCTCTTCTGGTCTCCATGGACACCCATGTACATACACATAATAAAAATAAATCATTAAAGAATTTTTTTTTGTTTTTTTGAGATAGGGTTTCTCTGTGTAGTTTTGGACCCTGTCCAGGAACTCACTCTGTAGCCCAAGCTGGCCTTGAACTCATAGGGATCCACCTGCCTCCCAAGTGCTGGGATTAAAGGCATGAGCCACCATTGCCCAGCTTTAAAGAAAAGATTTTTTAGAAGAGATATATTTATGGAACATCTGGGATGTAGCTCAGTAGGCAAGTGATTGCCTTGCACGTAAGATGCCCTGAGTTTGACTCCTAGCACCACTTCAGACCTGGCATGGTAGTGCATACCTGCAACCCCCAATCAGAAAGTGGAGGAAGGAGCCCAGCACTAGGGAGGCAGAGGCACTCCATCTCTACGAGTTTGAGTTCGAGGCCAACCTGGTCTACTGAGCTAGTTCCAGGACAGCCGGGGCTACACAGAGAAACCCTGTCTCGAAAAAAAACAAAAAACAAAAAAAGAAAGGAAAGAAAAGGAAGAGGAAATGGAGGAAGTGCTGGACAGATTGCTCACTTGTTGCTTTGTTGCTTTTGCAGAAGACCAGGGTTTGATTCCCAGCACCCACTTTGTGGTTCATTTCCCACCCGTAACTCCAGGGCCAGGGAATCTGATGCGCTATTCTGACCTCCTCAAGCACCAAGCATGGATGTGATGCCCATACATATACACAGGCAGAACACTCCTCATAAAATAGAATGAATAAATCTCATAAAATGTCTAAAAAGAAAGAGGAGGCAGAGGATCATCAGTTTAAGGTCATCTTTGGCTACACGAGACCTTAAAAAAAAGCCAAGAAATATTTATGAGCCGATTGCTTTTTAATGTGGTCAACTGAAGAGGACTCAGGAGAGAGCGGGAGTGCTCCAAAGCTGGAGACCCTGGCTACTGCAGTCACTGGTAAGCAAAGAAGCAGTCACTAAGAGGCATGTAGGAGCAGGGATGGATGGGGCAGAGCGGTGTCTGACCACAAGGATGTTACAGTCTTATTAATTAATTATTTATTAATTAAACAATGTGGAATGAGGAAGAAATAGCCCACATGTGCATCTACAGGGAATGCTGACTGGTTTTCAGAGCATCAACCCTGTTCTGGTGGACTGGGGTTGTTGGTGGACCTTGTTGATGGACATGGGTGGCTATAAATTGGAATGAAAAGATGGTTCTGATATTTTAAATGACAAAGGCAAGAAAGAGACAGGTAGGGACACATAGACTTGGACCTGGGAGAAGGCTGGATGGCTGGGGGTAGAGACAAGAGTTGTTGAGGAGCAAATGACAGCTGGAGCCAGGGGCAGGGATGACATCACCCGGGGATTGCCGAACTCAGGGACCACAGCCATGCTTGGAGACAGGTGCAGGGGAGTGGGGGTGGGGCAGGGTAGAGGGTGGATCACCCCAGGCACCTCAGCCCAGTCAGCTCAGTCTCCCCACCCTGGCAGTCAACTTCTGTCATCTAACCCAGCAGAAATTCTGGGGTTCTTAGGTCCTACAAATTCCGCTGGGTACACCAGTGCCTTGCCCTTTCCTGGAATCACACATAGTTGGCAAAAGGCATGTCCAATGGCCACATGGTGCCTTCCCTATGCCTGGCCTGCAGCTCCTCAACATTTTCTCAGTCCAGCTGGAATCATTTTCTCTTTGGGGAACCCAGGTGTCTTGCTCCCTCCGCAGGGGAGCTAGGATTGAAAATAGATCAGGGAGGGAGGGGGCAGTGCCCTACAAGGCTGGGCCTGGGCAACAGCTGCCCACATGGCCCTCTTGAGCCTCCCCCAAAGGCGCTGCCTCAGCACAAGTGTCCACCTGGGCCCCCGGGTTAAGTTACTGGTAAGGGGACCCAGGGCTCCCCTCCTCCCGACCTTCTGGCCTTTTCAGCAGACTCAGGGCTTCGAAGGCAGGGAGGAGTAACTTGGAAGAGAGTGGGGTGGGGCAAGGGACAAAGACCCTCAGATGGCGGGAGGGATTCTTTTTTTTCTCATAGTATATAATAGGCTGCCTCTTTCTGTTGTTTTCTGGGCCTCAGTTTCTTCAATTGTCAAGCCAATAGAGGCACTGTGGACAGCACCCTCAGCAGAATACATAATAGAGGATGGGAAGAGTACTTGATGGCTCTTCTCCCTTACACCGCACACTGGTTGTGTGCCTGGCATGTTTTCAGAATGGGGTCTGGGGATACTTATCTTGGAGAGTGGGGCGGGTGTATAGAGGGACATAACTTCTTGAAACTTCCTCACCTCCCACCCAACAAGTTGGATCTTCTGGACCTTGTCCAAAATCTACTTTCACCGGCAGAAATGGGGCAGTGGGCTCAAGGGAGTTGGCGGGGGGTTGGGATCTCTAGGACTCCAGGAACTCCTTGAAATTCTAAAACCCGCATGAGGACTCTCAGCCTTTTTTCTAGCCCTCGGGGACAGCAGATGACTGATGGGCAGAGCCTGGATTGGGGAGTGGCAGTCTAGATTACAGAAAAGCTCTGCCCTTGAACTGCCCAGAAGGCTGAGGAAGAACTGCCTGGCCTCTTAGCCTCAGTTTTGCCTTTGGGAAATGGGTAAGCACTCACTTTCCGCTGCTGTTTCTCCCAGGCCGGGTCCAACAGCAAGTCACGGTCCCAGTCTTCCTCCTGTTCCATGTACTCGCCGCCCCCGCCGCCCGAGAAGGGCCCCTCCCCGGCCCCTAGACCCTCGGGCTGCATAACCATCATCATCTTGCTCAGGATCTTGGCTCTGCTCCGCTCTGCTGGGCGAGCTCTTGAACGCTCAGGCCGGGTTAAGTAGGGCCCATCCCAGCCCCAGATCAGATTCGTACTAAATATGGGGGAGGTGGGTGGGGCCAGATAGGGGGCGAGGGAGCTTGGGTCTGGACCAGAGAAGAGATTGCGCTGGAGTCAAAGATTGCGGAATCGCGGGGGGATGCTGGACTGACTACTGGCCCTGACAGCGGGTTCGCATTTCAGCTCTGTGGTTAGCTTGCTGTGTGATCTCGGGAGAGCCATGAACCTTGTCTGTTTCCACATCTGTAAACTGGAGTCCAGGTGGTGGCTGCAGGCCACCCTAAAGGCTGCCCTTTGGACCCGAGTCTGCCCCGCTTCCAGCACTGCGCGCGAGAAACAGACCCTTATTTCTATCTCACAGTCAGTAACACCGAGGCAACAAGTTGTTTGGGGAGTTTTCTAGGGTGATGGAGACACCCGAGCATGGGGAAAGGCTCACGGCCAGATGATAGGGCCAGCCAGGTCTATTAATACCGGGGAGGCTGTAGAGGAGTGTGGGGAGAATGTGCTGAGCCGGGAAACCCCGACGCCACAGGGGTTGCAACTCAATCCTTTGGTGGTGGCAACCAGCCACACCAGGGGGCGTGGTCCCTGAGGTACGCTGGGCGTCCACTTCACTTTGACACTGGGAGGCAGCACCAACCGGATTTCGAAATCTGATCTGTTAGCCAATCACTTCTCTGTATCTGTGGCTCCGCCCTGTGACTCTAGCGCGCAACGCACCCTGCAGAGCTCCCATTGGTCGTGACAGACGTCCGTCCGCTGCTATGCCCTCCCCAATACGGAAGCGGTGGGGTCCCAGGGGTCTTACAGCGGGTGGGTCGGAACCATGGGGGAGCCCTGGGCGGCTCGGGGTGCAGAAGGAGCTTCCGCGCGGCTGCCACTGGTGCTCACCGCGCTGTGGGCTGCAGCCGTGGTATTGGAGCTGGCTTACGTGATGGTGCTGGGGCCCGGGCCGCCCCCGCTGGGACCCCTGGCCCGGGCCTTGCAACTGGCGCTGGCTGCTTATCAGCTTCTTAACCTGATGGGCAACGTGGGACTCTTCCTGCGCTCCGATCCCAGCATTCGGGGAGTGATGCTGGCTGGCCGCGGCCTGGGCCAGGGTTGGGCGTGAGTGTCGGGCACCGGGGTCTGCGGGCAGAAGCGGGGTGGGGGTGGGGGGCTGGGACCAAGAGAGGCCCCAGGACTTGAGTTGTCAGAAACCAGATGACGTTAGTATTCGGGTTGTTAGAGCCAAAGAACTCCTTTAGAACCTGCCATCCGCTAGCTACTTACTCATCCAGATACTGCTCAGGCACTGTTCCGGGGACTCAAGTAAAAACAATGTCCGACCTCCTGGAGTTGATTTCAGAGGCGGAAGGGGCAGATAATAAATTACAAGCTCAATAAATAAGCAAATTGCATAAGATGGACGGTAAAAGATGGTGTGAAAAAAACAGGTCAGTGTAAAAAAGGGGAGGAGCATAAGTTTCAGTTATTTTTGTTTGTATTTATGACGTGTGTCCTCGTCCAGGCGGGCATGTGGAGGTTGGAGGCAACTTTCACTCTCCTGGGATCTGGGAACTGAACAGGTCGTGAGTCCTGTGTAGCAAATGCCTTTAACCACTGAACCATCTCCCCAGCCCAAAGTTTCAGTTTTAAATACATGGTCTATTTTCAGCACAAGAATTTTAGGTGGTGGATTTGTTAATTAGCTTGATTTAATTCATTCACATTTTACCAAAAAGCCACAGCATATGCAAATATATTAAGACTAACTCATCCATTTGCGATTAAAAACTAAAATATTAAAATAAATAAGTGGTCAAGGTGGACCTCACTGAGGCATTTGTACAAAGAAGTGGTGGAGTTAGCCACTTGGGAATTTTTTTAACTGGTTTCTGGAAGGAGGAAGCAGGACCACAAAAAGGCAGAAGCCACTGTGTGTCCAGAATATTCAGAACCACAAGGGCAGTGGCTGGGATGGAGAGAGGGGAAGAGGTGTTGGGGCGGAAGCACTTCCAAGCCATTGAAAATTTTGTTTTTCAGTGGGTATGTCACAGGAGGTAGTCACCTCAGACCTGCAAGGCTAGAGTTGGAGGTGCCTGGCCAGGACAGTGGCTCTTCCTGCTTCCCCAAGATGGTCTCTGGGGCTGAGGTTGGGCATGGTCTGGGGCACTGAGAGCTGTTGGAGGCACTAACACGTGGTTATTCCCCCTCCCCTGCCTCTGCAGTTACTGCTACCAGTGCCAAAGCCAGGTGCCACCACGCAGTGGGCACTGCTCTGCCTGCCGCGTGTGCATCCTACGTCGTGACCATCACTGCCGCCTACTGGGCCGCTGTGTGGGCTTCCATAACTACCGGCCCTTCCTGTGCCTGCTGCTTCACGCGGCTGGGGTCCTGCTCCACGTCTCAGCGCTGCTAAGCCCTGCCCTGTCAGCCCTGCTGCGGGCCCACTCAGCCCTCTACACGGTGGCTCTCCTCCTGTTGCCCTGGCTCATGCTACTCACAGGTGGGGAGCTTTCTGAACCTTGCACTGTGCTGGGGAGCAAGGCCCCTACCCATGGGAGGGGGCGTGTCCAGCTGGTGCTCTTGGTCAATATTCTGGAGTCCCTGTCATTTAAGGAGAGAGGGAAGCCTCCTACGTAGCTGAGTGTGAAGTACTGTGATTTACATGGGGCTCCAAGACAAGCAGAGTTCTAGCCCCCAGAATCAAGGGTCCTAGAGCTTGCTACAGAAGAGGAAAGGCTAGTATGAGAGTCCATGGGTTGTTGGGGTGCTAGAAGGTTATCTTAGGGGAGATGGGCCTAAGTCCTCTGTCCCAAATATCCCTTCCTCCAGCCTCTGGAAACCACTGAGGTGCTCATGCTGGTTTCCTTTATAGGCTCTTCTATACATTTCTTGATGGTTCTGTGTTTTCTGAGGCTAGGTGCCTTTCTGCAGCCATTATAGCCTACCTCACAGTTCCCTCTCACTGACTTGGGCTCCCAGCCTGTCAAACCTGGGACCCCTGTTGAAACCAAAAGCACCAAAACTGTCGACAGCCCTATCCATGCCCAGATGGCTTACTTTGCTATCCCTCCCTCCCTCCCCTCCCTCCCTCCCTTCCTTCCTTCTTTTCTACACAATCTTGCTGTGTAGCCCAGGCTGGCTTCTAACTCACAATCCTCTTCCTCAGCTTCACAAGCACTGATGAGGTTGCAGGCATGTGCTCACTCCTGGCTCCCATTTCTTGGCCCTATCTGTGTTTCACTCCCCAACTCTCACATCCTGCTTCCCCGTCAGAACCCAGAGCGTGCCACCCCCATTGGGGGTCCCTCTCTGTGCCCTCTACCCTCTGCCCTTTCTCCCTGGTTCTGTTCATCTTCCCTGTCCCGTCTGCACTGTTCCTGCCTCGTGCCCTTCATTTCCACCTTTCTCCTGACAGTCTCAAGCATCTGAGCTCATCTTCCTTCCCCTGGCTACTAAGAGCTTCCAGATACACATGATGTCATGTTCACGGCTAGGTTCACCTTGTTCTCCATTTGAGGCTCAGGTTGGCAGGAACACTGAGAGTTTTGTGGCCGGCCTGGGTTACATATAGAGCTTAAGGTGACCTGGGCTGTATATTTTGAGACCTTGTCTCAAAAACAGAGAACGACAGTGTTCCTGTGTTCACCTCCCCCTGGCGGGCTGGAGGGCCCACGGCTTTCGGAAGCTGATGCCCCCCTTGCTGGAGGCCTCTGCTTGTTTGGTCCACGCCTCTTCCTGTGCCCCAGCTTTATTCAATTGGCTTTCCTTGGGGTTTCCTAACCTTCTATCGTCCTTCTCCTTATTTTGGCCTCCTTCTTCCAAAGGACTTGTGGAGGCTCACAGCTGCTTTCTCCTGCCTCTCCTTGCTCCCACCTGGCCTCTGCTCTGCCCTTCGCGCCTAGAGTGGTACAAGTCAGGCTCTGTCTCTAGGAAATCCAGCCATCTTCTTGCTTTTAGGGGACCTCTCAGGCTCAGGAGCTTCCAGCACTGCGTTCTTGACGTGTTTTGCCTTTGGCCTCACCTAGAGCTCAGACTTGGATATTTCCATCTCTGTCTCCCTTTGCTCTTCCCTTTTGCCTGCTCTCCACAGACTCTGTATCCTGTACCTCCCTCCACACACTCCGGCATGTCCAGCTGCTCACGGAGCCCCGCCCCACTTCAGGTTTCTTCTGCACACAGATCTGCTGGGCAACAGGATTTCTTAAACTGCCAGACCATTGACACTGTCTCCTAGGAGTCTCTCCTGGGCAGGATGTTCTCTCCTCCTTTTATCAAAATAGATGAAGTCTATTTCCTCTACCCTTAGTATTTTTTGCACAGCATTTCTGCTATGGTTTGGTGTGTGTGTGTGTGTGTGTGTGTGTGTGTGTGTGTGTGTGTGTGTGTGTGCATGTGAAGGTCAGCAAACAATCCTGGGCACCTTCCACTTTCTGTTTGAGACAGAGTCTGTCATTGGCCTGGGACTTTGACAAGTAGGCCAGGCCAGCTAGCCAATAGGCTCCAGAGATTCACCTGTCTCTGCCTCCCGTCCTGTCATCGCTGGAATAACATGCATATGGCACCACATCCAGATTTTTATGGGGGTCCTGAGGATCTGAACTCAGGGTCTCATGCTTGCAAGGCAAGCAGTTCATTGAATGAGCCATTTCCTCAGACCAAGTACTGTTTTACTGATACAAAACACATCACTTCAGTCATTTGGAAGTGTATAATTCAGTAGATTTTAGTATTCTAAACATGCTAAATATCTGTATTTAGTATCCAGTGTAGTGCAATCATTACCACATATTTCAGAACATTTTCACTCCATAGAGCAATGCTGTGACCAGTAAACAGCCCTCTTGTGACTCCCTAAATCTCCTCAAGCCCTGACAATCATTAGTCTACTTTCTGTGCATGTGTTTGCCCATTCAAGGCAGCTCACAGAAAGCACATCCCACAACCCATGGCCCTTTATGCCTGGCTTCTTTCACTTAGCACAATGTTTCATGGCCTCTGGTGGTCAATTCAGCAGGAACTAGCTGCCTGCTGAGGCCAAGATGGTAAAAGATGCTATACTTTCCCCATGTAACACAGATCCCAGGTGTAACTGAGTAACTGAATTTACAGAATTGAGGAATGAGTCCCACTTCTTGGGTGGGAGGAAGGCAGGATTTGGGTTTGGGAAGGCCAGCCAAAAGCCCTGAGACCCTTTCTGTTTTCTCTCCACAGGCAAAGTGTCTCTGGCCCAGTTCGCCTTAGCTTTTGTGGTGGACACATGTGTGGCAGGTGCACTTCTGTGTGGTGCTGGACTGCTTTTCCATGGGATGCTCCTGCTGCGAGGCCAGACCACCTGGGAGTGGGCTCGGGGTCAGCACTCCTATGACCTGGGCACCTGTCACAACCTGCAGGCAGCCCTGGGTCCGCGATGGGCCCTAGTCTGGTTCTGGCCTTTCCTGGCTTCCCCTTTGCCTGGAGATGGGATCACTTTCCAGACACCAGCTGATATGGGTCTTGTGGCTTCTTGAGTCCAGGTAGAGCCAGAACTGAATAGGGAGGAAGGGAGCAGAGGAGAGCGCTGGGAACTTGCTTTCAACTTCATGCCAGCCACAGGAGGGAGGCCACGTTGACCTTTCATGCCTCTAGTGGGCAGCTCTAGCTCCCTCCTTGGACCTGCCCAGTGTGGGCTCCTTCCATATGGAGAGTTCAGACACTGCAACTCTGCCCCTTTTGGTGGTGGTGGTGGGGGCTTTGGCAAGGGGTCTACTTGGCTTGCCTGTCTGCCCCTCTACCGTGCCCACCTGGTTCTTGGCCCTCCCCCATCTTTGCTGGGTTCCTATCCCTCACGTTGTTTTGCTTGTTGTTTTCCAGTTCCCATGGAAACCACTGAAGGCATGAGATCCTAACGGGCCTTGGAAGGGTGTGGTGGGATCCAGACACGGAGAAGCCAAGTGTGCTCTAGAGGGTAGCATCGTAGACACATTCTCCGCAGCAGGGGTCTCAAGGAAGCTCTTGTAGCTCACCTGTATGTGGGGCCAGAGTTAGGATCTCTGTTCTGTAAGAAACATAAAGCCCTGCTAGACCATGTGACAAGATTGTGGGGTAGAAATGTAGACCTTGCTCAAGGGAATCCACCTGCTTCTGCTTTTACCTTTTTTTTTTTTTAGGTTTTTCGAGACAGGGTTTCTCTGTGCAGCTTTGCGCCTTTCCTGGATCTTGCTCTCTAGACCAGGCTGGCCTCGAACTCACAGAGATCCACCTGCCTCTGCCTCCCAAGTGCTGGGATTAAAGGTGTGCGCCACCACCACCCCGGCCTTTTTTTTTTTTAATTTCAAGACAGGGTTTCTCTTTGTAGCCTTGGCTGTCTTAGAACTCACTCTGTAGACTAAGCTGGCTTCAAACTCAGAGATGATCCTGCCTCTGCCTCTGCCTCCCAAGTGCTGGGATTAAAGGCATGCATCACCACAACTGACTTGCTCCTGCTTTCTTTTTTTTTTTTTTTTAAAGATCTTTTATTTATTTATTTAATTGATGAGTGCTCTAATTGCCTGTATGCATTTATGCCAGAAGAGGGCATCAGATCCCCCTAGAGATGGTTGTGAGCCACCATGTGGTTGCTGGGAATTGAACTCAGGACCTCTGAAAGAGCAGCCTGTGCCCTTAACCGCTGAGCCAACTCTCCAGCCCCTTGCTCCTGCTTTCTGAGTGCTACAATTAAAAACATTCACCACCATGCCTGGCCCAAGAGGTTAGAGTCAAACCCAGGTCTTTTAATCTGCTTTACTTTTCATGGTTACAGTGAGTAGGAGAAACATCAGGGTAAAACCAACCAGCTTCCAGGTGTTCCAGAGCCTGTGAAGGATGTTTTTAATATTTATTTTTGTGTATGTCTGTCTGGGCACATAGTGTGCTTTAAATGCATGCACGGTCATGTATATATGGGTGCCCATGGAGACCAGAAGAGGGCATTGAATCTTCTGTAGCTGGATTTATAGGCTGTTGTGAGCCACCTGATGGGGTACTTGGAAACTAAACTTGGGTCCTCTGCAAGAGTCATATACACTCTTAACCACTAAGCCATCTTTCCAGCCCCTTTTTTGCTTTTAAAAATCTATTATTATTATCATTATTATTATTGAGACAGGGTCTCATTTAGTATTCCAGGCTGGCCTGGAACTTACTATGTAACCCAGGCTTCCCTGGAACTCAACAGCAAACTGCCTGCCTCAGACTCCAATCACTGGGAATGCAGGTGTGGTGAACCAACACACCCAGCTTCCAGCATCTGATGTAAATATAGTAAACAGTCTAAACATGGCAGGCTTCAGCACCCCAGTTATCTCTGTTTGCCTTTAGGACTCTCTAAAATAGAGAAGTAAAAATAATATAAATTTATAAGGGGAAAGAAGATAGATGTTAGTATACCAAAGAGCCTGACAATGTTTTGAAACATGAGAGATTGGGAGCTTGTTTGTCTTAGCAGAGAATTAAAAATTAAAATGACTTGTTCCTAAAGAGAGGGGAGGATAAGCAAGACAGAACTTCCCCAGCACTATGAAAGCTGAGGTGAAGCTTTGGGCTAATCTTGGGGTGTTGGCATGTTTACGTCAGGAGGTATGAACTGCTGTTCCTGAGACCCTCATCCACCCCTGCAGCCACCCTTCTGGGATGAGGTGGTAGGGTGATGAGGATGAACTGGGACCAGGGAAGCTCTGGATCTCAGGGGCAACAGCCAAGGTAGGGATGGGGGGCTGGATCAAAAATAGAGCTAAGCATGAAAATGTTGGCCGTCGTCTGCAGATAGTCATATGCCTGCCGAGTCCTCAGGAGCCTACCCTCCTGACAAGGCTTTGCCTGTCCTCCTAGAAGTCATTGTTTGTCCCTCAACATGCTCTGTTGCTTTAGAAAGACATTAGGATGCTGTGTGTGTGGCCTTGGCAGATCTGGTGTCCTCTTCTGTGTTCCCCCCTCAGCCTGCAGAATATTGAATTTTCATGTGTTTTTATTTGAGATATGAAAGGCTCCTTGGAACCCTCACCACAGCTTGTCTGGGAAAACAACTTGAAGTCCCCGCTGTGCCCTCCCTTGGTAGGAGATGAGTGGCACACTGATCTTAATCACCTTGCTTTGCTATGTTACATGTGCTCGTATTGATTCTGTATGCTTTGGTTGTATATGAATGAACTCCTACCAAGTTTATTCTTCTGTGGCTCGCCTTTTCACTCATATGAGATGTGCTCGGTATTACTGCATGTCGTGGTATGGTACTCTTCCCCATGGAGCTCTGAACTGGTCATTTTTTCTCCTCCCACTTAGTGGGAGTCACCCACTAGGAGCCCTTACTCTTCCATACCCATCCGAGGACCAGTTCCTCAGATTTGACCAATAAAATGCATTCTTCATTGTAATTCCACTGAACTTATCAGTGGAACCTAACAACTGGCACAGCTTGGTGAAAACTGGCATCTATGTGAAATTCCAACTGTCCAGGTCATGAACATGGTTTATCTCCTCACTGATTATTTTCTTAGTTCTTGAGACAGGGTCTCACTTTGTAGCTCTGGCTGGCCTAGAACTTACTAAGTAGATCAGGCTGGCCTCAAACTCAGAGATCTACTGCCTCTGCCTCGAAGCACTGAGATTAAGGGTGTGTACCACCATGTCAGCTTTAAATATTTTCAATAAAGCTTTTTTTTTTCCTGATGAACATGTCTTTTGAGTGGATTCACTTTTGTATTTTATATCTTAATTATACATGACTTATGAAGATTGTTGAGCACACATAAAGATCACTAGATCTTTTTTTTTTTTGGTAATGGGAGGAATAACGTATGCCATGCACATGCGTGGAGTCAGAGGGTAACTCGAGGAAGTTGATTCTTTCCACATGGCAACAGGGGTTGAATTCAGGTCGACAGGTTTGGCAGGGGGTGCCTTTACTGAGCCATCTCTCTAGCCCTGTTCACTGTATTTGTAATCATATTTTCTTTGTTCTTCCTTTAAAAAATGACTTTAGGGGAGGGGTGTATTAAGGGGGGCGGGGGAGGGAGTGGGAAGAGAGGAGGGAGGGGAAGCTTCGGTCAGAAAGTGAAATAAAAACTATTTTGGCAGAGACAGCAGTTCCCAGACCGGCCTGAAACTATGTAGCCCAGAGTGGCCTTGAACTTTGATATTCCAGCCTCAGCTTCCTGAATTCTGGGATTAGAGGTGTGACCCTCATCTGGCTTCCTTTTACATTTTTTTTTTTTTTTTTTTTTTTTTTTTTGGTTTTTCGAGACAGGGTTTCTCTGTGTAGCTTTGCGCCTTTCCTGGATCTAGCTCTGTAGACCAGGCTGGCCTTGAACTCACAAAGATCCGCCTGCCTCTGCCTCCCGAGTGCTGGGATTAAAGGCGTGTGCCACCACCGCCCGGCTTCCTTTTACATTTTTATGGTTCTTGCTTCTCTGCATGGATGAGACCACTATACAATATAGAATGCAGCTTCATTTTTTTTTTTGTTTGTTTTTTGAGACAGGGTTTCTCTGTAGCAGTTCTGGCTGTCCTGGAACTCGCTATAGACCAGGCTGGCCCCAAAACTCACGGAGATCCACCTACCTCTGCCTCCCAAGTATTGAGATTAAAGGCGTGCACCACCACCACCTGGCTTTTTTACTTTAAACTTTTTTTTTTTTTTTTTTTTTTTGGTTTTTCGAGACAGGGTTTCTCTGTGCAGCTTTGCGCCTTTCCTGGAACTCACTTGGTAGCCCAGGTTGGCCTCGAACTCACAGAGATCCGCCTGGCTCTGCCTCCCAAGTGCTGGGATTAAAGGCGTGTGCCACCACCGCCCGGCTACTTTAAACTTTTTTATGTGAATGAGTATGTGTATGTATGAGTATTTTATGAGTATTATGTATGTGCACCAGGTGGGTGCCTAGTGCCAAAAGTGGTGGTCAGGTCTTCTGAAACTGGAGTTAGACAGTTGTGAACCACACTATATGGGTGCCAGGAACTGAGCCCAGATCCTTTGCAAGATCAGCAAGTGCTCTTAATCACTGCGCCCCCCATCCAGCCCATTTCTGACTTTAGAGGGGATGGATTGTTTAATTAAATAAATTCAGTATGAGTTTTTTAAATTAGATGTTATTAGGCTATACACACACAAATAAATGCAACGATTAAATACATCTTTGAAAAGGATACCATGAGGACTGAACAGAGGAGTTGAGAACTAAGAAAAACAGCTTGAAACTTAAAAGCCCACAAAATTTTCAGTCCCAGAAAAAAAAGCAAACAATGACCATGAAAGAAGAGAGAAGAAAATCGGGATCAATCTAGTCCTCTCAGGAATGACCCCTTTATCAGATGTTGGGCTTAACTGGAGCTCCAGAGAGAACAGGACAGCCCTAGGACGGAATGCTCATCTATCCCCACCTCACAAAGCAACAATCAGGACCAGTAGAAACAGCACAGAAGCCAGAGGCTACGGGAGCTTTGTCTACAGGAAAACGATTTCCAGCTTTCATTTACTACCCGAACTATTAAACGTGTGAGCTGAAGACAGCAATGTCCAAACAAGCAACATTAGAACGGGTCTTAAAAAGAAGCTCCTCAGCCGGGCGGTGGTGGCGCACGACTTTAATCCCAGCACTCGGGAGGCAGAGCCAGGCGGATCTCTGTGAGTTCGAGGCCAGCCTGGTCTCCAAAGCGAGTTCCAGGAAAGGAGCAAAGCTACACAGAGAAACCCTGTCTCGAAAAACCAAAAAAAAAAAAAAAAAAAGAAGCTCCTCATGACTATGCTTTACCACATGAGGGCAGAATAAGAAGGAAGACAGGGTCTAGCCCTGGATAAGGGAAAAGGGGGTTCCTATAAGGAACTTATAGGAGTCTACATAGAAGCAAGGTATGAGGGAGGTGTCCTGAGGAAAGAACTGAGGTTGGATGGGGAAATTTTCAATGGTATATTAGAAAACTAAGCAATGGAAAAAAAGCAGGTACCAATTCCATGAAAACATCTGAAAGCTCAAAAATGGTTAATTCTCAGCTTTGAATAGGTATGGAGAGAGTGCACATGAAATATTTTTGTTCTGATTTCACAGCTTGACTGGGGTGAAAGGGACTGGAACGGTATCTGACCAAATACACAATCTAGCCTTGTCGTAACAGCCTCACTCGCATAATCCCCCTGACAAGGGGCCCATCACCGTCTTGAGCAGACTTTCCACCCCTGCCAAGTTCTGCAGGTTAGGCTGGGATCTCTGAGTGACAGCAACACTCCCTTCCCCTCATCTTTCCGTCTCCATTAGACCTGCTTGCTCCAGCTGTGTCTCTACTGGCTGATACAGCAAGGCACCCTTTGCCATCCATGCTCAGGCAGTCTGTCTGTGAGGGGATGGGCTGTTTCTTTGGTCTAGGCTCACTGTCTCTTAGCCTGGCCCCCAGTGAAGGGTCAAGGTGGCAGTGTTACCCTAGTCCCCAAGTGGGCTCAGAAGCTGTTACTGGGCAGTGGTAGCCAGCTTGGAGCCATTGGTCTTGTGGGCAAAAGCTTGTTAGTATCACTTATTGGGCCAATTCTTCCCTTCTTCCCGAGGAGCTGCCAAGCCCTGATGGTGTTGAGAGTTGAAAGCAGTTTAGAATTAATCCAGTCAAATTCTTTTTTTTTTTCTACTGGAGAGGAGGTGGAAGCAGGAGGCAGGCCTGAGCTGTGTGCCACACACCAGGCTGAACCTGGTCAGACAGGAGAAAACGCTGGTTTCCATGGAGTAGGACTCCTGGTTCTCAAGTGCTTCAGAATGGTCCTTGAGGAGGGCCAGGGTTGGCTGCCACTTGGGATCTACACACACACATCTTCATGTCATCTTGAGCCTCACTCATACCACTCATGTGTACTTTTCAGTGACCTCAGGAATACTCTGGCCACTGCACAGAAAACATCCCACCCTCTGGACCATCTTGGGCCTGGGCCTAAGTGCATCCTGACAGGTACTTATAGGCATCTGCCTCTTGGACCACTTCCCAGGTCCCAGAAATACTACTCCTGGTTCTGCTATCTAGCTTGGTGTTCCATTTCAGGAACAATGTCTCTGGACATGAGCTTCTGGTCAGCAGCAGCTGCTATGTGGGAGCTCTGGCTGGGGCTGGGACCTCGAGCTCCTCACATGGATCCCCTCTATCCCCTGCACCACCTCCTCTGGCAATCTTTGTGGCTAGTCTAAGACTTGTGGACAGAGCCCTGTGTCTCCTGGACTGCAAGGTAGAAAATGGAGCCCCTCATTCATCTGAGGAAGCTTAGCACGTGTGCCTGCAAGCTAAGCTGGCAGAAGCCAATGTCCCTAAAACCTTAAAGGGCCGCAGGAGGCTCAGTCTCAGCTGAATTCCCAGGCCAAGCCCTTGAACAATTGTGGCCTTGATCTGAAACAGGTGAGTGGGAGGAAGGAAGGTCTGGGCCTGTGCTCACTTATCACCTCAGATCTCTTCCTGGAACCCGGCGAGATTTCTTTAAAAAGCTGGGGAGGCTGGTAGGCAGCAAGAATTGTGGGACAGTGCTCAGGAGGAGTCTGAGGGAGGAGGAGCTGATTCTGAGCACTCCCTGTCTTGTGGCTCAGGCCCAGTGGCAAAGGTGGAGAGCAGGGACTGTTTCAGAGACAAACAGGAAGCTCACTACATCGCTGTGTGGGGGCGTGGCCTGGGGACACTGGAAGTCGCTGGATCTGGCTGACTCCATTCTGTGGAGGCTTGAATGCTGGCCCAGGGCTCAGGTAGCTGCCAGCCCCTCACTCACAGGCATGTTGATGTGGGCACTCAACAGGGGTGCACTCTGGCCTTCCCGGAGCACCAGCACCTAGGGAGGAGAAGACATGGCGAAGGGGGCACACACCTTACCTCTCCTCTTTGCTAACAGCAAATCTTCTTTGGTGCTGGCTCAAACGATAGGCTACCAGCCTATCTGCTGTGCTGACATATCCCACCGCGGCCCAGAGCCCCAGAGTCCTGTCCACCCCCATCATACTGTCCTCCCCAGAGTCCCACGAGGCTCTCTGAAATACAGAAGGGTAACCTACCTTGATCATGTCTGAGATGCCCTTGCTACTGAGACTCTCCACAAAGGTCTCCAGTGGGTAGCTGAGTCCTGGCACCAGCAAAGGGACCTATGTTTGAGGGACAGAAATAAACTAGCCTTCAAAGCATTTGTGCCTGTCCTCTCTGCTATATCTCAGGACCCTTCAGCCTGGGCAGGGATGACAAGCCATATCCAGGGGACATGGTGACGGGAGGGTAAGTGCATGGCTGGGGCCCACGGGTGCCTGGTTAAACCTAGACCCCTTGACAGCTACCAAGGCCAGGGTTCATTCCTCCCTATTCAAGAGTCTTGGTTTATGCTTCTCCCAACTTGAGGACACCTTGAGCCCTGGAGGAATCCCAGCCCTGTGCTTCTGTAGTGACTGGGGCAGAGGGTGGCTCCTCTGTTCTTTTAGCAGGAACAGCTGGGCAGCATGAGTTCTGGAGCTCCCTACCCTCCCCAGCAGCATGGGGCGGGTGGGGTGGGGGCAGAGGAAGAACTCACTCTGCTCTTTCCCAGCTCCTCTATGTGGCTCCCTGGGGTCTCTCTGGCTGGGAAAAAGGCAGTGGAGGTAGGAGACCAGTCTGGCCTCTGGCTTGTGTTGGTCTGCTGGCCACTCCCTTACCTCAACCTAACCGTTAGGGGCACCTCATCAGCCCCAGCCCTGACTT